CAACCCCGGTGTTATGACGTCATCAAGTTCGAAGTTTCCGTTACACGGGAATAGTGCTGTACCTTGTAACGGTCCAAAATTGTTAGTACTAAATAAGCATTACTCTTTAACCCAACAATGCTCATTTTATGGCCTGCCTATGTTCGCTTACAACGATTTTGCATGTGCGCTGATAGAGAGAACAATAATATTGATAAATGTACGTAGTTGCGAACGTGAATTCCTTTAAGTCAAACTGATTAATAAATCATTGCCGAAAATTGTGGGATCATTTCAGTGACTTCTGTACCAATTAAAGTAATTACTGTGGTTGATTGTTAATTTAATATTCCTTTTTGGGATTATTTGGAATCACGTCACGTAAGTGTTTTATATCACTAATAAATTAATTTATAATTTTGCATTTTAGCAACACAATCATGCAAAACTGTTGCGACGAACCAATTCATTACATATAAATAGGTTCCTAATAATCTTTGAGTGGAAACCCTCAAGATCACCACCTTCTACTGTAATACGTTATTAACATTTTTTTGGATACCTTTTAGGGTTCTTTTTCTGGACTCACTAAATTTAACTAAGACGCAGACGTCACGTCATTAGTTTGGGGCATAATTGGAGCGCCGTTCTCATCAAACGCCAGTTGAATGCCGATAGCCGTTGCAGAACCTCTACCACCCAGATAAGATATCTGTTTGTGCCGTCCCATTGTTTACCAAGAAGATCTAATTTGATTTCCACCTGTTACCTACTTAATTGTTATGTAGAAAAGTTGTTTTACGTTAAAAGAACAAGGAAAGGAATTTGGTGTAACCCTGATATGACCATATCTTGGAATTTACGTTAACATTGGCCATTTGGTTACGATAATTTTTTTGTCTGATTTCGTTATTAAGTTTTCTTTCAAAGTATTTTCGTTTGTAGAAATAAAGAAAATCACTTAAAGCTAGCTGGCAGGTTGATTACTGTCGCTCACTGAAATCTATTTATTTAATGCCCTCCTTGATCTATAGATCCTACGTCCCTGAGGCAACAATAAAAAAAATACGTGGCAACCTCCATAACTATATGTCCGATTCTTGTCATCTTAGCCTCATGGGAAAGATCGAGGGAAAGATAATAAAAAACGGAACATTTTATATCAAAATGTGCATTTACGTTACAGATCACCGTTACCGAGATATGGACAAGCAGAGTTGGACTGGGTCAAGCATAGAGTGACCCAGTGACCCGGTGACCCAGTTAGTTTACTGACCCAGTGACCCGGTGACCCAGCTTGACCCGGTGACCCAGCTTGACCCAGTTTGACCCGGTGACCCAGTGACCCATCTTGACCCAGTGACCCATCTTGACCCAGCTTTACTCAGTGACCCGTCTTGACCCGGTGGCCCAGTAATTAAATTATTGTTAGGTATCATCCAAAACAATTTCAAGTAACTTTTAATTAAAAAAAAAACTTCCTTAATAATATTCGGCAACAAGCACGTGGCCCAATTTCATTCAAGAGAACTAATACCTAAAAAAATCAAATGCATTTGTTTATAGTTTGTAGTCAAGTAGTCAATGAAAGTATTTAGAGAAAAGATTTATTTGGATTAAGCTAACTACATAGTAGAAAAAAATTAAAAGTGAATGAACACCACTGTAAGCAAACTGGTAAGCCCTGAAGCAAAGAAATAACATTATTCTAATACAATTCGGGACATGGAAAGTTTTTTACGGCAGTATTAAAGCAAACATCACAGAAATGGCAGTTGTCAAGCAATCGAGTATTATTTTCAACAAACCAGCATTTCATTTATTTCATAATCTGTACACTTGAACCGAGGGCACTGACTTAACTGCGTTATTCGATCAAACTAGGTGACTGGGTCGAATTGGGTCCCCGGGTGAAATCGCTGGGTCAAACTGGGTCAAACTGGGTCACTGGGTCAAACTGGGTCACTGGGTCAAACTGGGTCACTGGGTCTAACTGAAAAGAGTATGACGTGACCCAGCGACCCAGTGACCCAGTTTAATTTAGTGACCCAGGTGACCCAGTTGACCCAGTGACCCAGTCCAACTCTGTGGACAAGAAACCGTACGAGAAGGCGAATTTCAAGTACTTATTTGAAATTGGTGGAGGAATCGTTAAAGAGACGGAGGTCGTTTTTATATTCCCAGACTCGACTTTTTGTATTTTTATGCAAGGTTTGATTGTGCTTTCACCATTTCAAATGCGGGTCCACGTAGAGACCTGTGAAAAATTCTTAGCGAACTGTGGAGATGAACCAGATTTAATGATCAATCGATTTGTCACTGAAGATGATCCAATACACAGACGTTGCACTACTACGTACCTTTTCTACCCATTTACAGTACAGGCGTTATAAGTTGGCGAGCCGTTCGTATGCGCAGTAGACGGCACGCGGCGGCATATTTGAATTTTTCCAGTGGCGGATCAAAAAAAAATCGGTTTATGGTTTTGCAGGTTTCGTGCGGCTGATTCGAATTTCGGATAGCGCCATCGCTCGTCAATTTATTTATTCCTGGGTGGGCAGGGTTTCAACCCCTATACATTTACAAATATCCATGCCCGAACCCGAATTCGAACCAGGGACTTTTAGTGCCGCAGTGCAGCTTCAACTGAACTGTACCACACGGGACGGTTATACTGCATCGAGACTTAGTTCAGGCGATATTTCCTGGTAAGCTTCTATATTATGTTTTTCTGTGTAGAATCCTCCTAGAATTACAACACTACAGCTTCGTGGGACCACTGGAGCTTTTTCATGATTGCGTAAATAGACTGATCAGTGGCAATAACAGGTACTTGGCCGGGATTTAGATAATTAAACCAGAGCAAGAGATAGGGTAAAATGGAATAAAGTAGTGGATAAGATTAAACAAATGTGAAGATTAGGGTAAAGTCAAAAATTTAATGTAATAAGGTAGAAAGGACTAAGCCAAAGTCTATAAGGCCCGTAGTGCTGAAATATATAATAGCTTTCTTTTTGATTACCATGGCATGAAGTATCATTCCTGGAACTGTTGAAGATTCATTAAACCATTACCTCATTCTGGTCTTGTGCGTGATACGCCGACCACGAGACGAGAATCTTGTAAATCTCCTGTTGCCCGATTGACATGAGTGAGCGCAGATGCAACTACTTTTACCTTTCGTTCTTTACTATTTCCTTTAGAAGAATGCCACCTTCACCTTGCAACGTTTTCTCTTTTAGAAACCTTGGACCCTGGAAGATTTAGCTTTCGCTCCCAACTGTGAAGAAACCAAGTCGCATTTCAGATAGGTAGATATATTATACATTCGGTGTAACCATCTCACGTTCAAGATAACGCACTCGACTGTAGTTCACTGACAAACCTAGGTGATTGGTTTCATTTACTAGAAATGTGAATGACACATACAATAAGAACGATGTTGTACTTCGTCATGTATTTCTTCAAATTATTGTATTATATAAGACGATAAAGGGATATTTTAACCACTGAGTAAAAGATGTTAATTCACGAGATGGTTACTTTCCCTTTATCGTCGTGTATAATACAAAAATTTATTTTATAGCAGAAGCCATATAAATCATTGTTCTGACAACTCTGAATTTAATTTAGACTTAAAATATAGCAAGCTTAAGTTCTGCGGTCGCGGTCGTTTCCATAGAAACAGCATTATCATATGTAATGAACGTCATTTTATATTGTGCTCCGCTTCCCATTTGAAATAAGAATGACAGATATCATTAGACTGCATAATCATCTGTTTCACTTTATCTACTGTTGCAGTTAAAGTGTTCACTTTATCTATCCTTACGGTTATAGAACTGCTTAGTCTACTCATTCAAACCTATTAAAATGTCAATTTAACTGCTATAAAATAAATATTATATGTTCATGTGTGTATATTTTAACGATTCCTACTAAATAGGATTTCTTTTCAAATGAATAGGATATAGATAGACTATAAAATTACTATCCCATCTAGTAGGGGAGCTAGCACGAAATCCACTGAACGAGAATGATCAAAATTTTAACCGATGGAGTTCCATTTTGCCCTATCAGAGTATGCTAAAATCGATCGTCTGCCGCCTCAGGTCATACGACTTAAGGCGCTGCGGGTACTTCTTGTGGTACCAATTCTGAAAGGTTGTTTTTCGAGAAAATAAGTTATACACTAAATGAAAACGTTGATAATAGCTCTTAAAAAAACATTTAAAAAAATCGCGCACATTTGATAACTCCGTAAAAAAACAATTCTTAGTCGGTTTTTCACGAACTTTGTACGGATATAACTAGGTTACCGTTGGAAGAATGAAGCTGATTTTTTTTACAGACTAATGATAGGTACAGCCAATGACTATGAGAGTGTTTCTTTTTTAAATTTTTTCTCTAATTATAAGATATCTTATAATGTTAAGCTAATAAGATAATCTTGTAATTAGAGACAAAATTTAAAAACGAAACACCGTTAAGTCATTAGTAGTACCTATCATGAGTCTGTAAAAAAAATCAGCTTCATTCGTCCCACCGTAACCTAGTTATATCCGTAGAAAGTTCGTGAAAAACCGACTAAGAATTGTTTTTTTACGGAGTTACCAAATGCGCGGGATTTTTTTAAATATTTTTTTAAGAGCTATTATCAACGTTTTCATTTGGTATATAACTTATTTTTTAGAAAAACAACCTTTCAGAATTGGTACCACAAGAAGTACCCGCAGCGCCTTAAGTCGTATGACCTGAGGCGGCAGACGATCGATTTTAGCATACTCTGATAGGGCAAAATGGAACACCATCGGTTAAAATTTTGATCATTCTCGTTCAGTGGATTTCGTGTTAGCTCCCCTACTAATCGAATGATTTAGAATCAAGGGACAATTGGTTTGTTCATATCATACAATTGCGATTACTAATTTCAAAAAGACAGATCATGTGACGAGAAGTACATGCACTTATACACTATATATAGTTTGTACAATGTATGTTGCATAAGAACAATTTTAACCATGTTCCGACTATTACTTCTGTTAACCGTAGTCACTCTGGCAGCGGGTAAGTTATTCTATTTTTAAAACGAATTGTATGTTTAATAGTTATTTATTACATAAGACGATAAAGGTATATTTTAACCACTGAGAGAATTAACTCTAACTAGATGGCTAGTTTCCTTTTATTCGTCGTGTATAATACAAAACTTTATTTTATAGCAGAAGCCATATAAATCATTGTAAAGCTTCTGACAGTTCTGAATTTAATTTAGACTTCAAAAATATGAAGCCTAGGTCCTGCCGTCGCGGTCGTTTCAATAGAAACAGCATTGTCATATGTAATGAACGTCATTTTATATCGACAGAATGACAGATGTCATAAGAATTCACAATCATCTGTTTCAGTTTATCTATTCTTACGGTTAAAGCGCTGGTTAAAGTGATCACTTTATCTACCCTCACGGTTAAAGAGCGACTTCTAACCTATTAAAATGTCAATTTAAAATATCCTATAAAATAAAAATTGTTTAAATACCAGGTGCAAAACTACAGCTGCGTACACTTCCAAGACTTGATAGAAGAATTGTTGGTGGCAAACCCGTTAAGATCGAAGAATATCCATACCAAGTTTCTTTGCAAAGTGACGGCAGTCATATTTGTGGTGGTTCCATCATAGGACCGACCAAGGTACTAACAGCTGCCCACTGCACCAGCGGGTAAGAGATAATCAAGTGGGTTCTTACTGGAATTTAACGAATACTTTGCAGCCCATACGCTAGCTCTTTGTCAATTCGTCACTCCAGCACCTATCGTGGCGTGAAAGGTGTTGTGATCATGATATCAAACATCGTACGGAATCCAGACTACGGTCCAATCACAGCTAGTCATGACGTCAGTGTATTAACTCTTTCTGAACCGATTAAGGATTCAGACATTGCCAAACCGATCGTACTGGTCGAAACAAATGCGACAGAAGGTGATCGTGAGGCAGTGTGCACTGGATTGGGTGCCCGGTTATCTGGAGGATTTACTTTGCATTTACAAGCTGTCGATGTTAAAGAAGTAGACAGGAAAGCATGCAACGTAAGCTACAACGGCCGCATCACCGATACCATGATCTGTTTTGCCAGCCCAGGAAAGGACTCTTGCCAAGGAGATTCCGGTGGTCCACTGGTAGTTGGTGACAAGCAAGTTAGAATCGTCTCCTGGGGCCGCGGGTGCGCCCGTCCTGACTATCCTGGCGTGTACGCCCACGTCGCTCCTCTCAGAACATTCATTGATGAAAACTTATAACCTGTATGCGACCATTTAGATCAAAATAAATACGAAATTCCCTATATTAACTGCTATGAGATCCCCTTGACGGTCTTGGTATGTGAACAATACACGCAACCGTTTTCATGCGCAAGAGCATTTATTTGAGTTAAATTTTCCGCATTTTTTTCCCGTCGAATTACGCGGAAGTAATAAAACAAAGGGTCAAGGTTCTGAAAACGTTCTCCCAAACAAATACTACTCATGGTAAGTTTTTATTTTCGTCATCTCATTGCCTGGCTATGGTTTTGAATTACACGCTGCAAATTAGTCGTGTTCTGTTACTTCTGCAACTCATTAAATTAAATAAAGCTCGACAAAGATAAGTATAGCATCGCAAAATTCAAAAGTCAGATACAGCCCTGAAAGTCGGTTGAACCAATGAAAATTTCATTTTTATTTGACTACAAATTGGATTTTACATAAAATACATTACAATACTGTTTAATGCATTATTGTGGCAAGTAAAATAATTCTGATGAATTTTCCACGGTACAGAACGCTTGCAGAATTTCCTCTCTGTATTTCTAACGCTATGTGTTGTACGAAATATTCACCTGCCAATTTTTCAACTAAAAGTTTACCCAATTCTTTACTAAAAGATTTTGTGTCGGGTCACCACACCGATGTGTTGCTTTTTTTGATGCCATAACCTTGCATCCACAGTTTTGTTGTCGGCTGCTACAAAAGAATGCTCCGGGACGGCAGTGTGCAGTTTATAAACCCCATTCATAAGAGATGCTGCTTCAATTAGCTCAATTTTGCAATTGAATATTTTCCACGTTCTATCACCGAAAGCAGATTAGATGTGAGCTTGAGTATAGGCAATGCACCACAACCGTAGTAATCATGGCATCCCTACGGAGCTACACTGATAGATGTTCATCGTTTGCAACGACAATGTTCGGAATTGTCAATTTTCAGGGGTTCGAACCCTTATAAAAAGGGAGTTTCATGCAAAAGTTGATGCTTGGATTCGGCTTGTAAATATAATGTCGAAATTTTACATTAAGCCACTCCACCATGTGGGGAATTATGGAAAAGGTTGGTATCGAAAAAATCGTCTGGCAAAGGAAATCTTGCCGAATCACGGTTGACGGTCGAAAAGAAACCGGGAGCTATGGTGACGACTCACGTCTGCAATGCAACTTCTGGTGTCGCCGTCATAATTGAAAAAAGAACTGAGAAACTACTTTTTCTTGGAGTTCGAAATAAAGTAGTGCTCGTTTTGAACACGTTGTGCATGGATCTGCAGTTTCCAAAGTCACAGGCACAAACCACTGCATCAAAGCAGGTTTTCAAGTTGAAGAGTGATACGAAAATCGTCTCTTTGGCAGTAAGAAAAATTTTGACAAACAGTGTCATCAACAACTTGACGTGACAGGCCCTTAAGGGTACGTTCCACTTAACGCCCGCAACGACCACGACGCTCGGCTGCCGTTCCACATAACGACCACAGTCGTTATGTTCGCAATCGCGACGTCAGATATGACGTCATTACTAGCGACCGCAACGAGCCCACGGCGCTCGCCTATCGTACCTGGGTCAGCGTGGGCGTTCTAATTTTATAACCTTACATTCTTGACAGGAGACATTTAACTGTCAGACACTGATTGTTTGAACACGCATGCGTTACAAATTTTTCGTTTTCGCTATGGAGAAAATATAATTACGTGTTTCAGAACGTAACCTTGTGGTGGACATTACACTATGGATGTTCTACATGCACAAACTGGTAAGTATATATGCTGATTCGTGAATGTTAGTTATTTGTTAAGGAAAATTCTGCTCTAACACAATTTTCTTTATTGTAGATCTTAGATTTGCAACTAGTTTGCTGCAAAGTGCTTTACCAGGGAATGCGAATGAGACTCGTATAAATGGTAATGCAACGATTAATGAAAATGCATGTTAGTTTTGAATGAAGAAGAGAAATTGCTTTCGAAGCAGCATTCCCAGAAGAAATTCTGGGGAGAAGTGTTCATTATCATCGTATTAAGTATGGCCGCAGCATTTATGATAGAAATTCAAAAGTCGTCTTCAATATTTTATTAACAAGAAGCAATATCTTGTGTAAAGCGAAGAAGTATGTGTCAATAATTGGTACTGAAAAATAAAAAAATATTTACTAACTTAACGTGACTTTTCATAATCCACCCCACTTTGTATCCTTTACGCATTACGATTTCCTCAACGGCGTCCATGTTGGAAAACTGTTCACTCACGCGTGACGTCACACCGCACTCAAAAGCGTTCCACTCCACTTAAGGGTTCGCCCACAACGCCTCTAAGCTAGTGGAACGATAAAACCGCGGTCGTGGTAGTTGCGGGCGTTAAGTGGAACGTACCCTAAATGTATGCATTCAAATTCATGTGGCGACGTCTCAAAATTAGAGCAAGATTTGCACAGCTGCGTTTAGCACGTACTCGTATTGGGATGTGATACAAGGTGTGTGTAAAAAACTAAAAATGGCATATCCAACCTTAAAACGGAACGAAAATGAAATCACTAACAGAGCAGAATGGGGGTTTACAGTATAGTTGAATTCCGCAGTTCTAATTTAATAAGCGTGTACCTGAAACCATAAAACATTTTTTTGGACAGTAAAAGTTTATTTAAAAATAGAGGCTGATTAGCAAAAAAATAATGAACATGTGCGGTTTTAAAGGTTTATTGAAAACGATATGATTGTGGCGGGCTCTGTGACGCAATAAGCCCGACCAATCAGCTCCTAGAACCATTCAGATGACATAACGACTTGGCAATATTGCAGGAGAATGGCATTTATAACTTGCGTCATCTGTCACAGGCACTTGTCACTTTCGTGCTAGATGCAGTTAAACATCCCTCTCAAAACGTCAAATGTGACAAACGTCAGACCCTCGCGTAAGGTTGCCAGCTCACTTCTACGTGATTGGTCGTAGGTTTGTGACGTATTTAGTCTGAAGCGTTTCAAATTCGGACTAAAAACACAGCTTTTCAATAATTTATTTTGGGTTTATTTTTACTCGCAAATAAAAATTGAGGACACACGGGTCTTTTTATTTTTAATGTACTTTGTGGATCAAAAATAAAAAATGAAGGCGGGATGACCCCATTTATGAGTATTTTGCCTAGATTTACTATGGGAAAATGCCTAAACCTGACACAGCGGGATTTACCTTTCGGAAAAATTTAAAACGGGCCCAAAATTAGATGAGAGTGTGACTCGATTACAGTCCAGATAATGAGGACATTCAGTTAGAGGATGTCGAAGTGCAGTTGTTATTAAACAGACTTTTTCAACAATTTTCAAAATTATCAAGGACCAGTTCGATAACTCGCTATACATATAGAAGTGTTCAACCTCGATCTTTGGAATGATTTATAAACGTCGAGAATCCACACCATGTCATGATCATTTAAAACGAATCCTAGCCAATAATTTTATATCGGCTGATGTGGAGTATAGAAAAATAAATGAAAAATTAGTACGTCAAATATTTCCAGAAACACAAAACACGCAGCTTCACTAACAAGAACTATTAAAGACGCCCTTTTGGGAGGTTTGCGCGGTGTTTGGGCTATAACTTTTTGGTTTTGGGTACGTTTCTAAACAAAGTTATCAGAAAATTTTAAACGACCTTGAGGATAGATAATAAATTGTATGAGTTATATATATATACCTAGTACTTGTAATTATCATGATATTGACTATCATGTTCGACACCCATTGAATAATCATAATTTGAAACAAACAAGCCGCTCTCCGATTGATTTTAATTTTGTTTGTTTAATGTGCTCTTATAACCTCTCAGCGCGTTATTGAAAAATTCTCTACTCATTGTAATTAAGTAATAGTGCACAGATTAATTGTGACCATTACTTTAACAGACTCTTAGATACATAACATTTCGATTTCGGGAGTAATCGATATCATCATGGTCATTGTACAAATGTACAAAAAGTAGTTACTTTTTGGACTATCCTTCCTTTGCCTTGGGATAAAAAATTGACCTCCCACTTTTTTAACGGAAATAGAATTTTTACCACCTGCACGCCAGTAAGGCAGAGCAGAAATATTTATTTGGGGTAAAAAATGCCCCCCGTCCTTCCCAACTTTTTTGACGAAAATACGCGTTTTGAAGCACCAGGAATCCGAATCAAACAAAATCTCCACGATGTCGGGCTGCCTGTTTGTCGGTCTAGTCGGCCATTGCCGGCTAAACCGATTGGAACCAAATTTGGTACGCATATTCTTGGACATAAAGAAAAAGCTGAACAGTTGGGCAGAATCGCGCATGCGCAACTGTGTCAAACTCTCATTTCCGGCAAAACGGCTGACCAATTGGAACTAAATGTGGTACAAGGGCAGAATCGCTTCTCCGCAGGTGTGCAGGTGGTATCTGTGCTGTGCTGCGCTTTATGAAACGAATGGAGAGTAGAGTGGTATCGTGAAATTCTGTGGCAAGTATTGAAGAAAATTGTTACAGCGGCAAGACAATCAGCAATCAATTACTACTATACTGCTCTGTAAGCCATAGAAGTGGAACCTATATTTTACGCGTATCTTTTCGCATTTTCCACCGTTAAGCGCCGGGGTCACAGGAGCTTCGCGTGGGGTTCTGTTTAGGGAGCGGTAGAGTCACTCTACGTAAGCGGTGATGGCTCGAATGTAACTGTCACCACTTTGGCGGTTTGGAGATTTCTTCACTTCTGTGACGACGACTGAGGTGTTACAGAAAGCGACTTTTATTGACAGGACTGACGACCTTAAATGTCAAATGCAGCTGTAACACCAATAAGCGCTGTGGGTGAAAAACAGGATCTTGGGCACCTACGCTATGCCGGAACAGTAGATGTTCTTGTCCTACGCTATGGGTGAACAGAGGACCAGAGAGTCGACTAAATTGTTATGCCCATGCACCCTCTTTTATACCTCACTGTCAGCTGATCAAATTTTCACATTTTGGTTAACGGCAGCGTTGCCTCGATCGTTGCATGGTCATTGTGGCGTTGGCCAGCCATATCATATCTTCCACAGAGCGACCATGGAATAAGAAGGCGGTAGAGCCATTCTGCAGCAGTAAAGCCCGGTTGCATCAGCCCAACTTATGGTCCAGTCGAACCGACGCGGAATATACTTGTACAGCGGGATATGCAAGTATGCATCGCGAGGCGGCGGTTCCCATGTGCAAGGCACAAGTTAATTGCTTTCCTTCAATTTATAGAAATAATTCAATAAGCCCCATCTTTTTCTTGGTGGGTGGCACCATTTGTTCTTGTATTAAGCGGCGCATCACAATAAACACATCAAACAACAACTAGCAAAGTCAAGAACGGCATCACGCGCGAATACGAAAGTGTTGACGCACAACCAATTTGCTAACTGATAGATTATGGTGCAACGCAGCTTCATCCAAGTTAACTCTAAAGGTCAGCTTAGGCAAGACGGGTTTTAAGTCGTGCTTAAAAGATGTATTGGCGAAATCTGGTTTGTCTTGTGGCCTTGTGGAAGTATATGTAACTATATGCAATCTTTATATGGACCTTGTGAAATCGCTCAAGTTTGGACCGTTTAGACGGTAAAAACACTTCACCGTATCAAATTTGGAATCAACGAGCAAGTGGTTTATTTATTTAAAAAACAGATCATTAATTGAACTACACTAACGATAAGCTACAAGCACTTAGATACTATATATAGTTCATCAAATTTATGTTTCATCAGAACAATTTCAACCATGTTCCGATTAGTACTTCTCTTAACCGTAGTCACCTTAGCAGCGGGTAAGTCATTCTATTTTGAAAACAAAATGTATGTTAAAACACTGCCTAAACACCAGGTGCAAGACTACCACCTCCAAGACTTGACGGAAAAATCGTTGGCGGCAAACCCGTTAAGATCGAAGAGTACCCATACCAAGTTTCTTTGCAAAGTTATGGCAGCCATATTTGTGGTGGTTCCATCCTAGGACCGAACAAGATACTTACAGCTGCTCACTGCACCAGCGGGTAAGAAATAATCAATCGGGTTGTTCTCTGGGATTTAACGAATATTTTTCAGCTCGTCTGCTAGCTCGTTGTCAATTCGTCACTCCAGCACTTACCGTGGTTCCGAGGGTGTCGTGATCAAGGTGGCCAGTATTGCCCAGAATCCAGCCTACAATCCATTCACAACTAGTGATGACGTCAGTGTATTAACTCTTGCTGAATCAATCAAGGATTCAGACATTGGCAAACCGATCGCAATGGTCGAAGCCACCGCAGCAGAAGGTGGTCGTGCAGCAGTGTGCACAGGATGGGGTACTCTGTCATCTGGAGGATCCTCCCCCCTACAATTACAAGCTGTTGACGTTGAAGAAGTTGACAGAAAAGAGTGCAACAAAAGCTACGATGGCCGCATCACCGATACCATGATCTGTTTTGCCAGTCCAGGAAAGGACTCTTGCCAAGGAGATTCCGGTGGTCCACTCGTAGTTGGCGACAAACAAGTTGGAATCGTCTCCTGGGGCCGTGGATGCGCCCGTCCGGACTATCCTGGCGTTTACGCTCACGTTGCTCCTCTCAGGAAATTTATCGATAAAAACCTATAATCCGTATGCAACCATTTAGACAACAATAAATACCAAATTTTCCAACATTACCTAATTTTTAAGACCTTGGCGGCGATGATGTTGAAAACATTACACCTAGACATGGTTTTAGATTAACTTGAATAATGCCGCAGTTTATGCTTACCGATTGAGATAAAAAGTTACTTACGATACTTTTTTGAATAGATACCATTGAAAATCTGATTTAATATAATTTTCTTGGATTTCCAACAGGCTATCGAACCTGGGTTGATCGGGAACTAATGCGAATTTCTGAAACATGGGTTACTTAATGAGCCCGTTACCGGGAAGTGCATTGTTTCATAGTACGGGAGCCCAATAGGGCATTTTGGGATATACTCAAGCGCGGCACATTAATATAAGATCGTGGATGGAGAGCAGCTCATCAGAATAGTAAAAAAATCGATCGTTAGAAATACTCGAGTGCGTCAGATTAAAGTAAGGTGGGTTGACTACGTGTTGAAAAGTGTGCATTTCAATAATCTGACGATTTAAGAGTGGCGTAAGAGAGTAGGAAGGTTGCAAACTTGCAAATAAACAAACTTTTAAAAATCAAATTTGGTGAGTTTAATATACTACGATGATGAGTGATGATACTATTGAAAAATTATTAAATTCACGCTTGAAACAATAAAAAAAATACCCCACTTAATAGTATACTAAGATACAAGTGTATAATCAAGTCTTTAAAGCACACGCAACGAGTTTAATGGCACAACGCGAAGCGGAGTGCCTTTAACGTTGCAAGTGCTTTAAAGACCAATTATACTCGTGTATCTTCTAGTATTTTTTATTATACCTGCAGTATAATTTAGAAATAGGAAATACAATGAAATCATATTGACGTTATCTTCGAATACATGTCTAATTAAGTGGGCTGGGTGTTCGTAATTTCACGATAGCCATGGAAATGTCACTTGACGTTTGCTTATAAAAATCATCGTCTTTGTGAATAAAACGATTTCCGTTGAAAAAGATAATACACCTCCCATTAAATCGCCTGTTGTAAAATCTAAACAAACGTTGGTAGGTGTAAAATCCAAATCCAGTAAAGCCTATTATAAAGAATATGAAGAGTTATTTCCATGGATGAATAGGAAGTTACTTACGAATAAAGTCTTAAATGCATCGATAATGCTGGCATATATGAAGGAAATGTCAAAGATACCTATTTAAATCTTCTATCTTTTCGTGTAATCATTCAAAATTTCAAACAATGCTGCGATTAAAAAGTGGAACAGATTTGGCAGCATACCCAAAATTACGCGCGTTTGTGAAAGCTTCAACGAAAGGATAGGTACAAGCCAAAGAAATGTTCTGCATTTACAGAAAGCGATCTAAGAGGATTTTTTTATTTCACCCGGATGACAGTTTCAAAAGTCATACTTGAAGTATCATTACCTAGCAACTTTAAAGCACGTGTGTTTTAAAGGCGTCTTTTCGCACGCATTTGAGTGTTTAAAACGGATTGTGATTCACGTATAATAAAAAATAAGTTTTTTGGAACCGGCAGATTAAGAGAATCCCTTTAAGTTATCGTCAGATTATGGGATAGCACGACTAAGACTTCAAGCTAAATCAGCTGTATAATAATCTGACGCACTGAAGTATTTCAAAATGGTGATTTTTTTGCATTTCCAAAAATCTGTCCCGAGCTTGCGTCATGTTCAAATCGTTAGTCTTTTCAATGGGAACTTCCATTCTACTTAGCATCCCTTATAAATATCTGACGCACTCGAATAAAGCCCGTTTTTTACCCTTTCGTACAGCTTCCCCCACCATGCATGACATATCAGATAGTCCATTCCCAAAATTTAAAATTGATAAACCAACGGACTGGGATTTATCGAAACTGCACTGAACATATCTTCTTCTGACTTTGGCGAGGCATAATCGATAATAACTAAAAACGACGAATCTTGTTACGTAACGCAAGGTAATCGCGGTTATTCAACCTGGCATCGGATCTTTTAACTGCAATGGAGCAGGATACTAGTAGAACAAGCTTCTAAGACAACAAACGTGCAATGCGGGACTTTTTCGACCTAAAATTAGCCCCAGTGCTGCATATGCAAAGTTCACAGCTTCAAACAGCTGACCAATGAATCGGAATTGCAATTTGTGGCACGCCTACGAGCTGCGGCTGCACAGCGGTACAATAGTACTTATTAAACATCTACAAAGGATAAGTTATCTTTTGAAGTGGTTATTGGCAAAGTAACGACATCCGCATGCACTTCAAGCTACGTATGTGCTCTCCAGGGAACAGAATATGTTTCGATAACAATGCACCAAGCCAACGCGGTACACAGGAACCAACATCAAGAGATCGGGGCAAACCAACGCAGCTGGCCTCAATTCGGCTCTCAACCAGGCCCAAACATTTGGAGGCCCCTTATAACTCTAGATTGGAACAACACAGATGTGCCTAAATATTTGCCTGCACTTCCGGTTCCGTACGCTATCGAGGACAGCGTGGTAGACGTTATAAATTCACTACACAGGAGACATCTCAACCACTCCATTTTTTGATTTGCACGATAATTACTAACCCAAATGTAATGCTATTTGGTATGGTTGGAAAGCATTTTTTCAGAGCTTTCCAACGACGTATCACACATGGGGGGTCACTATTTAAGATTTAAAAGTTGGGGTGGCTGGGGCGCAGGGGGTTGGAGGGGGTGCGTCGCCAACTATGTCATTGTGATTCCCCCTCCGAATTACCGAAACGGATTTTGACTTTTTTAAATATCTCGTTTATTTAATAAGATATGGGGGGTGGTAAGTTTTCAAATTGTCACCCTGTATATATATTTATATAGACATTGCATATGAAAAACATAAGTTGCATCGATTTCCTGCGAAACCGGAAGTGGTGCCGGAAGTTTCAATATGCGATCGGATAAATCCTAATGGCACATCTAAAATTGTATGTGACAAATTTTTTGTATCTCCCAAATACTATTGCTATTGAGGTAACCCCCTTATTTAGAACGTACTGTACTGGTGTTCGCAATTAAACAAACATAACAAAATATACTGTATTCTTTCTTCAATGATTTATAATTTATACATAATACGCTTGCAAGAACTACCAATTTTTAACGTTATTTTTATCATGAGATTGTATTAAGTTAAAAACTGACCGTAGTAGAGATGATAAGTGGAATTGACGTGCGGGGGGAAAGGTGAGCTAGGAGATGAGATGTATTTCAGCCCTCGCACCGTTACAGGCTGATCATAACGGGGTCAAATTATTTAAGCAGCGCGTGGAATTACTGAATAACGCGAAGGTTAAGTAATACTTATACTGTGTGCTAAAATAATTACACCAATATAATTACCAACAGAGTTAATCAGAGCAGATCTGACCAGTGAGGATATTTTAACTAATTCTCTCTAATTCGTATTTCAACGATCTAGGTTCCCTTTAACGCTATATATATATATAGAAGTCATCCGCGAATTGTATTATTGTTGTACCCCTATTAAAAATTGAATGAATGTCAGCCGTGTACATGTTAAAAAGAATTTGGCTTAGTATGGATCCTTGTGCCAGTCCTCTCGGTACCGTTCTTGGGCCAATTTTCTTATTGTTGCACGTTCTAATATACACATATCTATTTTCATAAAGTGACACATTACTTCGAGAGACTCTTGCTGGTTATCAATTTATTCTCTAATATACTTAGGTAGTTCAACACAATTATAAGCGGCCTTTAAGTCAAAGAAAACACAGCTCATATATTGGAAGCTACCAAAGGCTAATTGCGCATCTGTTACCAAGAGTGCCAAGGCATCTATAGTTCCGCATCCTTTCCTGAAACCAAACTGATTGACGGGCAATGTTTTATTTTCTAATAACCACCATTCAAGACGTGTCTTTATGAGACGTTCATACGTTTTAGTTATACAAGGAAGCAGTGAAATGAACGAGGTCAATTGAGACTGGTCTTTCAATGCCCATTTAACCGATCCCCGTCTGCTGAATGTGAGTTTTTGATTTGGAACCTATACAGTGACTATAGTACCAATCTCAGACAATTGTCTTCAATCGATAACACGTCCTTACATTTCATAAATTGATTGACAAAATACGGGTCGTGTAATATTACATGAATTGTCGTTTGAAACACGTACAATCGACTATTGACGGCTAATAAATGCGTATTCAATCATGATTTAATAGCGATAGAGATTCCATTAGAATGTCAAAATCGCTTCCGATACCAGAAGTATAAATATTAATACCAAATTCCGCTGACAATTTAACGAATTGAAAGAGGCAATAAAGTCCTTTATTGTTGGAATTGGTAATAAATACGCCAACTTTCATTTTGAATTTTAATACACTGCTACTCGCGAAGCAGCAATTTGTTCCGAATTGATCGATATTGTGAACATCTCAGTGTACATTAAAAGGAATTATTCAAGATCGCATTGCAATTTATAAGCTTGCAAAATGTCTTCACTACAGATAGCTGCAGGAAATGAATAAATAACGTCATTTCCAAGGCGCCAAAATTTATACGTGGTGAAATGTTACTGGGAGCGGGTTGGCAAAAAAAATTTAACTGTAAATGGATTTGCGCAGATGCAATTAAGAGCTTACGGCAACACAATTCTTACTCAAATAGTACGTTCTCGAGTCTCTGAAACTCATACTAATAAATAGCGCACATAGAATAAGTAGGATAAGCAAGCACTAAGCATAAACCTCTCCTGGATTTGCGAAAATATGTTTTCTCATGCACTAAATCTCACCGTATTACCCTAGAATCTACAGTCTTACTAAAAGAAGTTACGACGCAAGGAAAGACGCTGTTATGATTTTGTTTTGTTTTATGAAAATTTAAACTCTTACTGTGCAACTTTTGCAACAGCGGTGCTTATTATTAGATCCCAGGGTATGTAATTTGTTTTTGTTCTTCATATTACCGCTTCTGGTGGAGACAATGTACGGAAAAATAAAAGCTGACAATAATCGTGTTGCATATAAAACAAATGACGGCACCACTTCTAAGAAATTATAAATATGCAATAAGCTCTTCTTGACTG